TCGGCGATGAAAAAAAGTTACACATGCCGCTACAGGAATAATTTCAGTTATTTTTATGCAGAACTGTCATTAAAGAAATTAAAAGAATCATTTTTGAAAACCCTTCACATGGCCTGTAGGCTAAGATAAAGATGTTTATTCCTCTGACTAAGTTCAGTCTCTTTCTAACGCTGGCGTTCATCTCAGTTCCTTTGCTTTTGCTTTTCTTGGCTTGGGTTTGTAAATAATAACGTGAACAATAGGGAATAAATTTATAATTTAAACTGGGGAAACCCACTACTTTATACGTTCTGAACATCGCGCATTTAAACCATAAATTGTACGGTTTTTAACAGCTTATAAATGGTGTAAAATAGGCACATATAGCAAGTCTGGAATAGCAAATAGTAAAAACTAATTATGTCTAAATACAACGGGGCTCTCAAATCTCAATAACCCTGACCTGTAGGCTTCAGTCTACATAGCCTACTTAGTAATTCGTTACTGACTGTTCGGATGATTTTTAACAAAACTTTATGTTGTATTTCCTTGCGCAAAGATGTGTTCCTTGACTTATACATCTTCATTTATACCTTAAAAGATCATATCATGATACATCAAACCAAGTGTTAAAATTAGAAATAATACTGAGTGAACATTCTTCAATTTTAATATAACTTTTTACAACACACTTGTAGATTGTAGAAGTAAAATTCAACTGGCAGAAGAAGTTGTTGAACAGTTGTGCGTCGTTTGATGATGTATATATGTTTCCTTGTTAAAAATTACAAAAGACATCTCATTCATATATACCTTTTATCGCCCCGTAAAATTTCTTTACGATCTTAGAAATGTAAATTCCATAAGATAATTCCATTTCTCTACCTAAGCAAACATACAAGGCAGTGTAAACGCTCGTGTATTTTACACACAATTATACAGCTGTACATAAAGAACTAAACTCGAAAAGGGAACTTAAGCTTTTATTACAAACACAAGCTTGAAATTGATTTTGCAAACAAAATTCATTCATATCATTGATGTATTCGAGATTGCCTACGGAATAGGTGCTGTTTTGGCTCTTTTAATAGTCCAAATACTTTATTGATGAAAACAACGTACTCCCGTCGCCGGAAGTGTTGCAATATATAAATTGCGTTAGGCAATTTGTGATATATACATAAAAAGGCAATGTAAATAACATCTTCATAAGCGTATTGTAATTTGATTTTGAAGTCAAGAAATCGGAAATCTTCTATGTATCTTATTATTAAAGTTAAAAATGCTGTCATCAAAGATCATAATAAGTATCATTTAAAAAAATTCCTTTATTACTTAGAATGTAAAACTTGCTATTTTGTGAGTGGGCAGAGTTAATTTCTCATTTAAACTAATAGCTATCATGTGGTGAAAGCTAGACAGAATAGTGAATTATAATTATAATATCACAAGGAAGTTGAAAAATGTGTTGAAAATATTTTTCACGGATTTTTGAGCTTGGTATACGTAACCTGAGTTTTTCTGCCACTTCAAATTCCCTTTAAAGATTTCATTTTACGTAAATTCACAGCAGCGTAGAAAGTAGCTAATTATTTTTTGCTGTGTGAAGTAAATTTGAAGGGTTGCATGTACACGTTCATTGTTTTAAATCATCAGAGAATGAACACCTTCTAAGTATACAACTTCTGATATTTTTCCAGGTTACCTGACATCCATCTACGGTAGCTATATATACCGGCGCCAACAAACATTAACTTCTAATTAATCTAACTAAAATCTGCTTCCATTATCCAGATATATTATTACAAATTATGAGCAAAATTTCACAGCAGTGATTGAAACTGCAGGCAAACTAACACGTCTTGCTGATAAAAGTCGAAAGCGACGGTTTTTGACAAAAAACAGCTTTATCAGAAGAACAGTATGCGAAGATGTGCCCGTGATCACTATATTTTACTTGGATGTTCAATGCACCTGCTGTTAAGTTACAAACAGGCAAACAAATACAGAAAAACTATTTGAAGAATGTCAAAATGCGTGCTTCGTTTTCTTTCGTGCGCTAGTTTTTGAATGACCATCTAAATCCACTCTTTGATCGTATTATTTTTGTTAACTGGTCTTGTTTATCCGTCTTGATGCGATTTTAAGACACGTTTCCCGTCTAGACTAGTTTCTGCTCAAACTTTTAACGTGTATTAAGAAGTTAGCCGGGAGAGTTTCAATGAGAAAATCACATTCACATCAGACGAGCTTCCCGTCCAAACGAGTTTTCTGGCTCTAATGTGAAATCGGCTATTCATGCATTTAAACATCTTATTTTACATCACCTCATACACCCTACATAAAGCAACTATTGCACATATTTTAAACCATGCAAGGCGTACATTTTACTTATAAACATGCAAACAGAAACTATACGTAGCTATACTACATATTTATTATATATATTTGTTTATATAAACTAAATCATGTTTAAAGATTGGTTATCCAGGCATTATATTAGTTAAAAATAAAAGTTTCTCCGGATTTTCACAAATAATTTTATTGAGCTTTCGACTCGTTGCTTCGAGCCTTCATCAGAATGAGGAAATTATCTATTTACACTTGCTTTTTGAGCGTCTAGCTGGATTAGCGGGTGGATTAATGTGATTGGATGGGGTGAAATGCGTTGCCATGGGTTTTGGTGTGTTGTGAATATGATCGGTGTTAATATTATTAGAGTGTAATATTGTAGTTTTGGTGTTGTTTGTAGTTTTTTTTTGTCCTTTTTCTTTAGTTGTGAGTATATGATGGGTATTTCGATATGTCTGTTTATTGTGTCGTTGTCTTTACTGTACAAGGTTCTTTAAATTCGCGTGCGTGTTCAGTCTGTGCGCGTCCGAGTACTTTAGTTTCTGTGCAGTCGAATGTGTGGTTGTTTCCGTGGGTATGTTCTGCCGGTAGTGAATTCGGATCTCGTCGTTTTATGGCGTTTTTATGTTCTGTGAGTCTTGTTTCGATTTTCTTTGATGTTTGTCCTATGTATTGTTTTGAGCAGTCTTTACATGCTATCATGTAGATTGCGTCGGTTGTATAATGAATTGTCGTTTTGTGTTTATGTTTGGTGAAACATGATTTTAGTTTTGTGTAGGTTTGTGGGCGACGTTAATATTATTAATCCCAAGCGAACAAAGCTGTTAAATTTAGTAAACTTCGAAGTCAAAAACACTATTCAAACGTATAGAACGTTGATAGAAATTCATATTTACACTGTCAGAAATATGTTCCACTTGAAAATCATTGGAAGCAAAAAATAGTCTTTCAGGCATGTTTAAAATTATCATGTCAGCAATTTCAATTTCCGCGTGTTTAGATTGGATGGCCTGATCCAACTACGGGTATCGATCAATCAAAGTGCGCGTTTTTTTTGTTGTTTTACAATGAATTTTTGCAAATTAAGTACAAAATTTTTCAGTTGCTGAAAGTGTAACTGTTCTATAAATGTCATTGCTTATGGTAGAGTGTCCGCTTCTTAGCTATAACAAACAACGGAATCTTAGCTATAACAAAGAACTTTTTTGAAACAGTAGCTAATACACGAAACATTGCAGGTGATCCTCAATTTAATTGGTTTTTAAATGCACATGCTGATATGTTAAAATTAGCTTACAATAATTGCAAATCAAAAACTATGTTAAGAATTTTAAAAGGCGTCTTTTAGTCTTTGATATTATCGCCGAAATCATTCTTCAGTGATAAAAAAAGTGACACATGCTGCTACAGGAATAATTTCAGTTATTTTTATGTAGAATTGTCATTAAAGAATTCAAGAGAATCACTTGTGAAAACCTCTTATGCATTAAAATCCTAATAGCCATCAAAGTGAGTGGGTTGATTTTTTTTTCTCGTGAATTCATATCTTGCAGTGAAAGATACGGAAATCGAAAGCAATGTTATTATAATTGCACAAGGAAATTGAGAAATCGACTACAAAATCAAGATTTTCGTCAATTTTGATATTTGGTAAAGTGCATCACTGCAACTTTTGTAATAATTGATCAATGCTCTTTAATGTACACTGAGTTTTGCTTCAGAAGCTTAGAGCATATGCCATCAAGAATGCATACAAAGGTATGCGATTTCTCGCCACCGTATAAAACATATATATTTAATATTCCATACTGTTTTCTGTCAAGCCAAGAGATACATTTTGCTGAAAAGAAAACAGAAATGTATCGAGTGATTAGGAAAAGCAAGTCTGTTAACAATTCTTTTTTCCTTAAATGTGGAATATATAAGTAGTTTTGAGTCTAATGAAAACTTATTACATATAAAGGATTGTAAAGAAGTAAGTGATTCCCTATTTATCTCGCTATGTCATCTTGTTTGTGTAACATGCCAGTGTATCCACCTGCCTCAAAAATCGACTACAAGGGGCACTTTGAAAGTGAATTTTATACAGTATTGACTGATTCTTACAAAATCATGTAGAACGTATGAGTATATTTGTTGAAAGTTCCGCAATGCTGTAGGTAACGTTGTTCTCAAACTCCTGCAGCCAATGCGCCCAACTCATACAGAATCATGGATCGTACACGATAGATGTCGCAAAGTCGAGAAAAGAATGTTTTCATTAAATAGTAATCTAAGAAGTTCAGCTGATATTTAATGTTCTAATGGCAATGCACATGCCGATAAGTAGCACTTGGCTTAAAGCCAGTTTAAGCAATGTCATGCAGTTAAAACAACGACGACCAAATGGAAATTCATATTTATTTCTTGCAAAAGAATGTCGAACAATTTAAAGTTAAAAAGCTTAACACTTTGTCACTCGTTAGCAACACTATTCTGGGTAAGAGCAGTACTGCTGCACTTACCATGATTTATCGATGCTGCTTCATTTTTCCTTGTTTTTGTTCTTGTCCTCTGGAATGTTGGTTGTGCAAGATAATATTTTAAAACTATGTCATGCAGTGAATGGAACATCAAATGAATAACAAATTATGATTTGGGAAAGGAAATTCCAAAGTACTCTCTAATTGTTTATTGATTTCGGTAGAAACAAAAACCATGCAAATGAATTTGAAAACATCCTCTGATGTATTTCGAAACAAAGTGCGATAAATAAATACTATGCAGTCACAACATTTCATTTATTGCCTACCATCCAGACTGAGGTGAACACACATCAATTTTTTTGTGAAATTACCATAGTCATTGGATATCTATAAAAGAAAGGTACTTGAAATAAAACTATTGATTTTCCTTGTCTTTGATGCTTCTTTTGCGTGATATAGTGGTATAAAATTTGGTTGTTTCATGATATTTTATAGAAATAGCTATCTTTTGTTTGTAACATGTAGCAAGCGGAAAATGTTCCAGCCCTGTAACTTCAAAGAGTAAAAGGATAAATTTAAGTATGAAGTGCAACCCATAATTAAAGATATTTCAAACAGAATTTAAGCCATTTGATAAACCAAAATATGGTAGATCCAATTTTATTCGTCTGACGCTATTATACTTTACTTTCAATACTATTTTGCTACATCATTATATATAGAGCTATAAATGTAAATATTTAGCATAATGTTTCGAAAGGAGCTGTGCCGATATTATCATTGCAATCATAAAAGCTTAGACTATACTTGCTGGCTTTTGATATGATCTAGATTTTCTTAGGAGGGTCTTAAATTTTCGGTGCATGGGTAAATTCTTAAAAACTTTTGAAAAAATTTGTTCGTTAGAAAATTAGCTGTTTCCTCTGACATACCAGGTTCCCTTTCATTCCTGGACTGCGTGGCTTTTATAATTGGAACTGGTGTCATTTCGACATTCATACAGTTGAATGGCAGCGATGTCAAAGTCAATCAATCTACTTTAGTATATACTTTCGTATCAAAAGTTTCTTTACTCATTTCTTTGCTGAGCTTTCATAAAATTCAAATGGCCTCTCACTCTGTACACACGCCCCCTCCCCAAATAATCAACCAAAGAAAATTTTTTGGAATCACATTGCCAACAATTTACATTCAATCTATACGTTACAAAAAGAGAAATTTAATGCGTTGTGCATAGTTCGTTCTTCTTTATGATATAACTGAGATATGATTGTTGCGTAGTAACTACTACTAGCGTACAGATAAGTTTACTTTAAAGAAGTATTCAGGAGAATACGGCAAGTTTGAACGTTGTAGCTATGTCGTATCTATGACAGCTAAAGTGGATGACTAAAGAATTACAATCTTTTGCAGTGCATGGCAAGGGAAGCCCAATCTTCACTTCTATACTATGCTGAACTTTTACTTCATTGTGTGAAAAATAATTGCCATCTATTGTTTTTCCAGTGATTGAACATAAAAAATTCACACTGTAGCCTTTGCTTCGCTACTGATATTCTGTTAACTTTATTTTTGATCAATATATTTTGTTGACTCATTCATATATACCTTTTATTGTACTATACAATTTCATCTCCATCTTAAAAATATTAATTTAAACAAAGAATTCTGCACCTTTACTGGTTCTCCCTTCCTTGGTAAGTAATATCTTATTTGTCTCAGACTTCTTGTAATTCAAAGCGCCTCAAAGTTCACACAGTGTAAAGACCCCTGTGACGGTGTTAGAAGAAAACATCAATAGACGACAGTGACCATCATGTTTGATGTTAGTTTTACAAATTTGAAACGTATGAAATGAGTTGTGTTATTTAATACTCCGCAGAAACTATGTAAATTGCGTATTTAGGTGTGAAAATGACATAGTAACATGAAAATCTGAACGCACACCTTCTGTAGCTTTAATAATTAAATATACAATTTCTTCCAAGCTTATGCTTGCCAATATCATTTACATAAAAATGCTTACAAAAGTTGCATAGTAGCATTTGATAAAAGTGTTCAGTCTTAAATATGCAAACTTAAATGAGCGACTGTGAGTGTGCAGCCTGAAATATTTTATTTTGAAAATAACTTCGAACCTCATATAATTTACTTTTGATATTAGCTAACATTAACTTTGAGTTGTAGCTATATAACTTTCAATATCATTGAATGTGAAAGTTTGTTTCATCAATCTCGTAATATAGTTGCGGATTTAGGTACATCAAAATAAATGACTGCACCTTATTTTTGGATTTTTTTATATTTCTGAATACTTTTGAGGAAACTTCATTGGTAAAATTTTATTCTTTAAAATCGATAACAAACAGTTTTGTTCTGAAGGTATTTTGAATTTAAAATTAATCACCTATAATGTATTTTGAGGAACGCTTGATCCGCTACAGTCGTGATACTTAACGTAGTATTTATCGTCAAAGTGCAATTTAACCCGTGAATGGTTGAATGTTGAATTTGAATGAACGTTAAATTTTATAATGTACACAGGAAGAGCTAGCTGCACGACACATTTTGCATATTGTTGATGATTACTAAAATTTCACTATGTCAATCAAAGTAAACACTCGGCAATATTTTTTAACTACCATAAACATTGTCGTCTCAGAAAATGACAGTGAACGTAACATAACGAAAGATTTTACCACAAAGAATCTCGCCAAACCATATCATAGGTGTAGGAAAATCAGTATTTTTTTGGGGGGGGGAGGGGGGAACGGAGGGCCATATTAGGCATGTTATAATTCATCGAAAACAACAGATGTCAAAGGAATTTAATACTGCTTATCATAACTAAGAGCACTCTTTTCCTATGCCAATGCACTGCTTATCATTAAAACACAATTTCAATGAAGTTCAATTTCTCGCTATAATTTAGCATGACGAACAAGTGGATATTTGTTGTGATCTTTTGCGTCCTAACAATTTCTACGAGCATCGCTGGCAGCATATGCTGCAATAGAATTAAGGAATTGGTGCAAAAAAAGAAAAAGGCCTTTGCAACTATTTGTGCATCAGGAAACAATCTCCCTCAGGGTTGCTGTGACGATATTAAGAAGGAAGTAAAGTCGTTTGAGGATGCATACCAGTCGTTATGTGTTAGTTCATGTAAGTTGACAACCACAATATGAACATAATATGGGCTCATATTTACAGAAATAGATCAATTAATATAAAATGGATCTGAACACTAATGACTGCACAATAGTTCTGTATAAAAGCATGATATATGAACGTACAAAATGGAATGAAATTTTCAAATGCTAATTCCAATCTAAGCCACAGGGGCGTAAAGCTACCAGGTTTATTTAAAGAATGGAAGATGTGACACAATTAATTTTTTTTTTAAAAGCTATGCGGTCAGCAAATATTAAACAGTAACATGAACACGTATTGTTTTGAGAAAAAAAATCATGAATGAATGGGCCGCAGTCACGTGCTCTTTGGCAATAAGTGCCAACAACTTAGATGATTTGTTTACAGTCCAAAAGTCAAGCTATGTTAATTTGAAACCATGCAATGTGCTATGCCATGGCACTGTAAATTGATGAAACAATATTTTAAGTTTTGTAAAAAAGAGCATTGCCAAGGTAATAAGAAGTTTTCTTAATTGCTTTCATCCACAAACGTCAACTTGTATCAAATGACAGTTTCTTGATGTTTTACGTTTCTAAAACAGGTCATACTTAAAGCTAGCGGCTTAAAGCTAAGCTTACAAAAGGTTCATATATGATTTTATTGTCATTCCTAGCAAACATCCTGGGGAACTCGAGCATTCTAAAGAATAAGCCGCAATGGATAACTCAGCTTCAAAAATGGCTGCCATCGAACTTAAGAGGTCATAAGACGGTGCTCTGTTACAGAGCAACCGTGAATGGTTGGAGGTCAAACAAATTCCACAGTCGTTGTGACTCGAAGGGACCAACACTAGTCATTATCAAAAAAGGATCGTATGTGTTTGGGGGATTTGCATCGCAATCTTGGGGAGGTAATAAGCTTGAGCAAATTAGACAACTGTATAATAATAGCTGTGTTAAGCTAATAATATAAACAAAACACAGAAAACTATTTTTATCTTGTAAATGACGTATTGGCAAGTAGAAAGGAATTTTAGACTTAATAGCTTATGCATGCATCTATGAATACAAATTGCATGAAAACTTTTTTATTTCGGCCAAAACATGCATGTATGCCAATATTAACTAAGAAAAACTACGAAATGTTTACAATAGAAAGGCATGAAAAAAGATTAATCATCAAAAATTATCAAGCTCCGACTATTGAAAAATTACAAGTAATTAACATTATCTTTCACAAGTTAAACAATATCAGTTGTGATTGGTCAACTACCTGCAAATAATTCTCGATATCTGTAAGTATGACGTCATGTCTACAAATAATAGTTTCTACAATAAAACAATTATTGAATTTGACCTTCGCATTATATCAAGAATTATTCAAACCTTGGTAATGTTATAGTTGTCAATGTCTTGCCACCTACAAAGTATTGAAAATTATTTGTAGGCGTCGTAATTGTTTATGTGAAAATTGTAAACTAAAAAGTATGATCTTGCTCGAGATTTGCAAACGTTTTACAAACTATTTTTGCTCATGTTATTGAATATAAAGACGTAAAAAAAATTGAAAGGATTACACTGTCAGTCAGGAGAGTTTTTGATGAGTATTATCGGAAAAAAGACAAAAGGGAAATGCAAAAGTTTTGGCTTGATTGATTTTTCACTCAATATACGAAATCCAGCATTATTTTCTGATGCTTTTGCAATCGGCTTATTGTTGAAATCGTTAAACAAATCTTGACAAAATCACAAATAACCATATAACACGTTGACTTTCAATAAGTCGTTGGATTTTTCTATGGAGAGAGAAATAAGCAATATGAGCTATCTCTGTATAAGGAGCATCCAACTAAATTGTTGTTATGAAATTCTCTTTAATTATAGGAAGTGGTCGTTACATAAGAGCACCAAATTCCTTTATTTTCTCGTTCAAAAACAAGGATGGTCTAAAACCTTTCAAAGCCACGATCTATAGATATCAGCAATACGCAATGTACACAAATACATACTATGGACCAACATTTGGAGGTGGTCATGACATTTATATCGCCAACAATGCTGGGTCCTATTCCAATTCATACACAAACTTTGGTTACATACAAGCTCCCATCTGGCTATTCCTACGGAAGCACAAAAGCAAAGAACTTATTGGCTGGCTCGTACAGGTTTTCTCCAAACGAAGTAGAAGTTTTTTATTTTTCTGCACGTAAGTTAGCAACAAAAATTTTATTTAAATTATAAATATATAGTTTTTTTGACTTTAAATAAGATAAAATCTGGTGGCTTGATACATACAAGAATCTTGCAATGCTGGAAATATATCACAAGGGCATGACTTTTGCAATATATGACCTAGCTATATAGGAAAACAAGGAACGTGTATAAAAATATAAAAGGAATGCATTTCTCGAATCTGACTTCAAGCCTTACATTTTGCACTATCTAAACTACAGAAATATGGCTGTTAGAGGTGATGAAGGATGGTTTGTGTGCGTGTGTGTGTTTATAAGTGTTCGTGTAGGAGAGTTGTCAAACTGTTATGCTATTTCATAGATGTCGAGCTTTCACTCATCGTCAAACTGTACCATATGCATGAACTTAAAGATAATTTTCATAAATAACTGTGCAGTGGCTATTAGCTTTTGGCAAAACTTCATATGTTTCTCTTCCTAGCCAGAAAGTCAAGTTACGTCATGTTTAGAGCATGCTTAGCAATATGCGCTTACAATTAGCGGCGTAACTGTATAGGAGCTCTGCGTAGCAGAGCTGTAGGCACCAAAGCAATTACCTTACATGGAAGTACCTTGCGGTGTTATTCATGAAAATAAAGCGAATGAAATGAGTGTTTATTATATTTGGGCAAGTGGAAGCACTGAATATATCTCACTCAAAGTCTTTTATAAAGTAGTGCTCGTCTGAAAGTAAATTATATAAATAAATAGTGTTATATTAACGATTAGTCGGGAAATTTTTTATGTTGTTAGAGCTTTGGAGGAGGGAAAAAGTTAGCCCATTATGGAAAGTTACTGGCAGCCTAATTCAAACTTACGCCACTTCCTATAGTAAAGCAAAATTTCGAGACAGTCTTTATTGCTAAATTTGTTTTTCTTAATGATTTATATCTGAAGAGTTCACTTAAAGCAATAACAAAGCATTCAAAAGTTTCATATGAAATTTCATTTTCATCTCTAGCAATCCTGCAGGACTCAAGTATTATAAAGAATAAGAAATGGATAGAAAAGCTTGAAGAATGGTTGCCGTCGAATTTACACGGAAAATTGACTGAGCGATGTTACAAAGCATCCGTAAATGGTTGGAGTTCGAGCACATTTCACAGTCGTTGTGACTCAAAGGGACCAACACTGGTCATTATTAAAAGCGGATCTTATGTGTTTGGGGGATTTGCATCGCAATCTTGGGGAGGTAACTTGAGACAATCTTTCGAACATCATTAAAAAAAAATTTATAAAGAAGAATGAATTTTTCATGAGAATATCTTATACAACTTTTTCTCGTTAAGAAATTTCTATACAATGAATTCTTTATACGAGTATTTTTCCAATTAAAAAGCATATAGCTAAGAATTTATTCTTAAAACAAGAAATAAGACTAATTTGAGGATTAAAAATAATTCAAATTAGGTAGCTAATTAAGAAATCGTGGGAGAACATATTTTTGTATCAAGAATGTTCCCCATCTGCATGATGCTCTTAATATCAAAACAACTGGATGGTTGAAAATTGGCTTTTTTAATTAAACAATAGAACTAAAAACATATATATAAGGTCTTCTAAGATAAAGAGAAAAATATGAGGTTCATAATAAATGCAAGAAAACATTTGCCAACAAAAACTGGCTACTAAATACAGTTATTAGTTAATATTTTTTTACAAAGGAGATTGCTGGCATTTCTCTTTTGGATTTAGCTACGATTCTACATGGCTTAAATCTTACTTCTAAGCTATAAAAAGATATTTCTTTCGTCATTAAGCATTGCCAAAGGACATAGCTATTAGTTTTTAACCCAGGATCCAACTATAGCAAATTTCATGAAAATCTTTAGTAAAAAACAAACTTCGGAAAGATTAGCCTTTGATGAAACAGCTAGCTTAATTTTTAACCTGTTTATATATATTAATGAGCTTATACCTGAAACATATTTTTATAAATGTACTAATATTCTATATATGGGCAGTCATTAATTTTACAATGTCGAAAGCCTTCTTTTGGTCGAGTTTTTGAAGAAACATTTTAAAAATAAAATATTGACAAAATCACAAATAGATTATCTTTAAATTAAAGAGATATGAGATTTGCCGATGAAGAGGCATAAGGTTCCAACTAAGAATTACAAGATTCGATCATTGAAAATATAGAATTGACAAATGGCATTGTTATATCTGTGCTAGGAATTCATATGCTCCATCGTAAATGCTCCATCTTAAATGTAATTTTGTATGTCTGTCTTTTTATAGGAAACAGTCGTTACATACGAGCACCAAACTCTTTCATTTTCTCCTTTAAAAACAAAGATGGTCTGGCACCTTTTAAATCAAATAAGTCCAATAATGCATACGCAATGTACACAAATAGATACTATGGACCCACATTTGGAAACGGTTTTGATATCTATATTGCTAGCAACGCCGGATCCAGTTCCAGCTCATACACAAACTTTGGCTATGGATATAAGCTCCCATCTGGCTATTCTGCTGGGAACTCCAAAACACGAAACCTGTTACCTGGTCATGATTTACACCAAATGAGCTCAAGTCTTTATTTTTCCACACGTAAGTTAACATTAAAAATCTTAATCATATATGGCACATAAAACAACAGCTTAAATTCAGCGTTTATAGTCGGATGACATTTGAAATCATGGAATTGAAATTGCAAAAGACATTTCATTTAAGAACTACAAAAATACTGTGTGTACAGTAAAACCCAATAACTTGTGTTCTCTTGAGGTTCAAAGAAATTGTGGTTTTTATACTTGTATATATTAGGTTATTATACAGCATCGGTAATTTCAGTATTCGCTCACAATTGTAAGCTGCAACACAGATACAAATAGTTCAGGGTGATTAAAGTACTTTGCAAGACCAAACTTTTCAAAATTACGAATTCAGAAATATCAAAATCTTGATACTTTTCAGGCAAATTACTCATTATGAACTTATATAACTATGTGGAATGCATGATTTATCAATTTGTGCTGTTTAAATCAAATTTACACTTTTTACTTATATAATCTTCACCCTTGAAGCTTACCCTTTTATGATTCGAGATTAAAGCTCAAGTCATCCATAGAAATTTGACCTGAAGTAAAACGGAAATTCTTTCGAGTATGCATTATAAATTAAATATAAATTAAATAATATCAAATCCAGCAGAGCACTGCATAAATTTACATTGAGCTCACGAAGAGCTCATGTTATTGTGGTTCTATTGTATTACTTTATGAAATGGAATATACGTTTCAAATATGACTTATCTAAATCTAATGTTTTTAGCTTACTCTAAAAAACAGTGAGGTAGCTATGAGGTGTGTAATAAGTTAGATGAGGGATGTGGATACACTGCGTTTGTCGTAAATGCGGTTTTATCAGTAAATGCCAAACTGAAACATATATGCATGTATTAAAAGAAAAGATTCAGGTGTAAATAAATAGAATTCTAATTATTTTTCTTGCAAAACCAAAGTTCTTTTCTCCTTCAAGCGCAATGACGTCACTGTCAGACCATGTCTTAATAACATAAGGTGATAAAATATATACTAAAAATCTGTTAAAATACAGAATTAAACGACCTTTTTATTGCTTACATTACATAAAGAGTTTGCTTAGTAAAGTGCAATCAAACGTTTCATAAAATTTTCACGTCAGCAATCCTACAAGACTCAAGCATTCTAAAGGATAAAGAGATGGATAGGAAAGCTTCAACAATGGCTGCCTTCGTACTTGAATGACAAAAGATTGCGCTGTTAAGCAACGAAAAATGGATGGAGGGAGGACATTTCACAGTCGCTGTGACTCAAAAGGACCAACATTGGTTATTATTAAAAAGGATCGTATGTGTTTGGGGCATTTGTCAGAATCTTGGGAGGTAAGGTCGAGGACTTATACGACATTAATTGCATGTGAATACCTTTGAATTCAATGGTCTCTGATAAAAATTGATGTAGCACGCATAAGAAAATAGTTTTTATAATAAAATGCATATTTTGTAAGGGATAAAACAGATATTATTTGCATGTTCGGTACCTTTTAATGGGAATCTATAGATATTACAGGCTTGAACTTCTCATGTCGGAATATTACAAAATATATGTAAGCAAACAATAGTTAAGCCAACCTTAGTGCTTATTTCAATATGATAACAATAAAAATATGACAAACTGATTGAATAAGGCTAAGTGGAGTTGTCTTATATCTGCACGTCTAAGATTTTACGTTGACGTTATATCTAAGAATTAATCCTCATCAAATTTTCATATAGAATGAAATCTTAGCAAAAATTGTAAACAAATTATCTTGAATTTCAAAAGTAATTCATGGCAAATTTTGTATATTAGTCATTGTTTCAGTCAAAAAGCATAAAATTTGATTAGTGAAATAGAAAATATCAACATCATCTTCATATATGAAACTTTAACGCAAATTTTTGTGTATTACTTAAATTACAGGAGGACGTTCTGGTTACATACAAGCACCAGAATCTTTCATTTCTCCTTTAAAACAAAGATAATCTTGCACCTTTAAGTCCAATGTTACAAGATACAAACAATACGCAATGCAATACAGCAGCTATGGACCAACATTTGGTGGTCACGACATTTATATCGCCAACAATGCTGGGTCCTATTCCAATTCTTACACAAACTTTATACATACAAGCTCCCATCTGGCTATTCTTACGGGAGCACAAAAGCAAAGAACTTATTGGCTGGCTCATACAAATTTATTCAAACGAAGTGGAAGCATTTTATTTTTCGCCATGTAAGTTATAACACCAAATTTTAAACAAAATATGGCATCATAATAATGATAATAATGTTTATTAGTTAACTACAATCGCGTGCGTCTTGGTATATATATCTACACCAAACTTAAAGCATAGAAATATATCGTGAAATTGGAACATCATGCAAAGCCATCTTTACAAAACTATAAGAAATGATAAATGCTTACATGAAGAAATAAAATGGGATATAATTTTTAAATCTGACTTTCGTAGTCTAATTTTTATGAATATAAAGGACAAACACAGAATAAATAACTAATAAAAAGTACAACTTGGAAGTTTTGTGCAACAGATACTGCCGAAGCAAGCTTCAAACCATGTTTTGTGGCAGCGAGTGCATTTTAGAGCAAAATATGGCTAAAACTGATTTATGAAGGTTAAAAATTTTCTGGAATATAAGAACTATCTTTGTCACCAGTAATGTGATGTATTTTGAAGAAATTCTAAACACCTTTTAAACGATTTTGTAAACACATTTAGTAACGTAAAAAAATTTGATACACTATATTAGGAATTTATATTAGGTAAAATATTTTACGGCTTCCTGCAGATTTTAGAGGAACTTTGTTGTCTAACTGAGGTGTTATACGTAACTTTTAGTATGATGACGTGTTTCAAAGGAGGAATTTCACAAACCAACTTAATGTCTATATGAAAAGAGATCCGTCAAAACAAGGGCGAAACGTTCAAAATTTAACATAAAATTTTATGTCATTCCTATAGTGATCCTAACTCAGTTATTCTGAAAATAAACAAGAATGGATAGGAAAGCTTCAAAATGGTTACCTCTGAATTTATATAAAGACGAAGCGCTTACAAAGCAACATCGAATGGATGGAGAGTAATTCCACAGTTGTTGTGACTCAAAGGGACCAACACTGTTAAATATGGAGGTTGTATTTTTGGAGGATTTGCATCAAAGTCTTGGGGAGGTAAGCCCGCTCTAATTATAAATTGTTTGGAAACTTAAGCATGTATTTATAAACCAAATCTATTGAAACCCTTCACACGCCGGCAGGCACGTAGCCAGAACGATAATTGAGGGATGGGGTATAATCATATACTTTTATAATTGGTAAAAATCAAGGGATTTCAAAGAAACTAATACCTATATCATGCATTATATGTCCTCCTCCCCCCATCGTTCTGGTTGTGCCGGCAATTAGAAGATCGTAAATACAACTACCAAACGTTAAGTTATGCCAGCAAATTTAAGAAAAATATACCATGTTTTAAAATAAGTGCATGAACTGTATTAGTTATAAAAAATCAATGGGAGTTATCTTATGAACATGCATTCTACATTTCTTTTGATCTTGTTTAAAGTTATATACCCAATATTTTTGTCATTTGTTAGCAGCACAGTTATAAAAAACTTAAATCTTCGTGGGTGGGATATCATGTTTGAAAATCTTCATCAAACAACATATTACTCACATCAGCTATGCAAACCGGGAGGTACGGGTACATGCATGCTGTGCTTAACTTGCAGTATTCAACTTTGAATCATCCTCGAAAATTTTATTCGCCGATAGTACCAGTCTACCCGCAGTTTTTTTGCAACTTTGACCAGCACCAAACCATATTTTATAGTTATACGTAGTTTGCATATGATGCAAATTGAAGTTATGAAAAACTCACGAGTCCATGATTTATAAATTGCATAAAATAATTTAATAATATAGCTAAATGAAAGAGTTTCTCAATTCTGTTAATTTTGACTTGAGCGTCGCACGTTTCAACTGGCAAGTTATAACTATCGACCGGCTCGTAATTTTAATTCGTTCAAATAATTTTTACACCATTGCTTCCAAACACAAAGCCAAAAACAAGGAGCTATAATCAGAAGTGTTCGTATTTTGAAATGTCTTCCAAATGCAGAACTGTAGACTCGGTTTCTAAAGAAAATCTACTTAAAATTTACGCTAGCCATTGTATCCATTTGCTTTTGTTTACAACACAAATTTCCCGCCATTGAAATGATTTATTTCGATTGGCTCTAGTTTGATTACCTTTTGTTTGACTAACTAATCAGGTGCACTTTGTATAAGTAATAGTGGTTTGAGGACTTGGGAAAAACATGCACGATAAGTTTTTCAAAGACTATCAAAAGTCCTAAGGTCAATTCAATTTGAAGTCTTTGAAAACTCACGAGTGCCTGTTTCAAATCAAATTTACGAAACCATGCTATTCCTATTAATCATATACATGAAAAATTCTCAATTCCGTAGATTTTTGACTTCAGCGTACGTACATTGCAGCCGGCGAGTTTAATCATTGATCAACCGGTTCGTATTTTCAATTCCGTCGTATTATTTTCACGGCACCATAACTTCACACCAGCTAGAACAAGGTATCTACTTTTAGCAGTATTGTTATTTTCATCCAGAAACACTTTGCAAACGGTAAACTGTAAACTCCTTCGCTAAAGAAAATCCTATTGCTAAAGACAACTTACGCCAGTCGTTGTAATTGCTTTGTTTACAATAATTTAACTTTCCTTTTGAAATGTTTTATTTTGATTGGCTCTTAGATCATTTTTGTTTGACTAACCAGTCAGGAGCGCATTTTTCAAAAATAAATTGCACTGTATTTCCTTTTTTTGTATTGTGTTTCCTATTTTTGCACTGGTATTTACGATAAATTACACTCCTGTAAACCAATCAGAATTGAGAAATTTTTTCATGTATATCATTAGAAGAGAAATCATGGTGTTCGTTTTTTTTTTACACTGATGTTTCTCTGAAATTTTCATTGCTTTTAACCAATCAGAATTCAGAAATTTTTCATGCATTAATATATAATATCTTTTTGACTTACCAAAAAGGAATGGAAATTACTAATAAATAATCACTAAAGAAAGCAATAAGAATTTCTAATTGAAATGTAATTGTTTTATGTTTTTTATTTGTAGGAAGTAGCCGTTACATAAGAGCATCAGACTCTTTTATTTTTTCTCTTAAAAACCCGGCTGGTCTGGCCCTTTCAAATCCTTATATAGATATCAACATGCAATGTACACAAGCAGCAGCTATGGACCCACTTGAGGTGGTCATGATTTGAAAATCGGCAATATGCCAGAACCAGCACAAGCTCACACAAACTTTGGTCATACGTACAAGCTTCCATCAGGCTATTCGTACGGGAGCACAAAAGCAAAGAAATTGTTGGGTGGCTCCTACCAATTTCGTCAAACGAAATTGAAGTGTTCTATTTCTCCTCATAATAATCGAACCATTCACGAATAAAAGTGTCATAAAAAGCATGGTTTCTCCTTTTGTTAAATTAACCGAATTAGCTGTCGCACGTAGCAAATAATCTCATAGATAATAATTGTAATCATTCAATAACAATGCAGAAACCAATATTGTAATTCCTTAAATGAATTGAAATACTTATTTTGCACTTATTAATTGCAACAAAACTTTTCTTTTCGACATGCTTTGTCTTGTAAGATTCCTCTATAGTTGATTATGACTTCAGGTCATTGTGAGTAAACTGCCGTATAAG